GCCATGACTGAAGCAGGAAAGGAAATGCTTTGGTTGAAGAGGTTTCTTCAACAACTGGGAATTGAGCAGAAAAGGTACGTTATCCATTGTGATAGCCAAAGCGCATTGGATTTAAGTAAGAATGCGATGTATCACTCTCGCACGCAGCACATTGATGTCAGATATCATTGGCTGCGTCAGGCAGTGGAAGAACAAGAGTTCAAGCTAGATAAGATTCACACGGATAAAAATCCTGCTGATATGATGACGAAAGTTGTTGCACGAGAAAAACATCAACAGTGTGCTAAGCTGATTGGCATGGATCGCATGTGAAGATTCCAAGAGTGCATCTTTGTGCTGGAGGGAGAGAATTGTGATGTCCAGCATATTTCGGTGTTCGGTGCCATTTTTTTTTACTCTCTAAACAAATAAATAATATTTTATTTGGTGAATAGTAACTTCATTTGGCTATAAATAGCCGTGAGGAATGAAATTGAGTGTGTGCATCACAAGAGTGTTTATCAAGCATTGATAGAATTCTAGTGAAAGAAAAATAGAGTGTTGAGTAAATCCTAAGAGTATGAGAAAAATACACTAGGGTGGGTATCATCTCTATTTCTTCTTGGTATTACAAAATTTGTAATATTTGAATAGGAGTGGGTCTCACTGGGTACACTATATTTTACATCTCTTGTGTGATAGAGTGTTGAAAGGATATTGTAAATATCTCGAGATATAGTGGAATATTTTTCGGAGTTTGTCCCGTGGTTTTTTCTTCCACATTGGAGGTTTTTCCACGTTAAATATTGGTGTTCTTTATCTGCTTATTTTATTCAGTTAGAATAATTCTTAGTATGCTCTGTGGTTGCAGTTTAGTCTGATCTTCCACATCAGAAAAGAATTATTTCTGTTATCCTTCCGTGGTTGATTGTTGGATTGCTGGAGAAGTGTGTTTTTTGTATTAGTGTTGTAACTGGAAAGGTTCTGACTAAGGAAAGACTTGATATTTAAGTGATCTGTTGTGATCTACCTCTCTTTCCTGGGAAGTATTCCAGTGCACACTTTACAAGTTACACCGCTGCGCTGCTAGATCTATTTATTAGATTTGAATTATTGCTCGCCAGTTTACGTCAGAATTTTAATTTACACGTCCAAATTTTTCTGCATTTGAGCCCAACATAACAATGGTTAGAAATTAATTTTATAGTTTTTTAATTATTTATTTTTATTAATAGAGTACATCTTTAAAAAATTGTTTGAGAAGAATGATTTTGAAGGTGAGAGAAAGCTAAATTTTGTTATCTTAAATAAATATATTTTAAATTAATATTTTTAAAATATATAATTTAATATAATTATAGTAAATTTATTATTATTATTAATATATAATTTTTTAATTTAAAATTTAAAATTATATTCTTCCCTTCTTTCTTCTCTTTCAAACAAACCTTATAAGATAAGTAAAATTTTGATTTAAAATTAATAACTTAATTTTTTCACCTAAAAGGTATTAAAAATATTTAAATTAAACATGATATTAGAATACTTTAAAAACTCGTTATATAAAATTTTCAAGAATACTGACTGATCAAATATATTTTTGATATTCTGAAAAACGTAACTATCAGAAACTACAAAAATTTTCTCCATGTTAAAAGCTGCTTAATTTTATCGGTAGACTGGAAATTTCATTTTAAGATTATATTTCTTTACACATATCAACATTTATTAAAAATAATATTTATAAAAAAATATCCAAGAGCGAGAGATAGTACAGTTGAGACTTGCACATTTTTTAGTCTGAATTTGTAATTAAGAAAAAATAATAATTGAACTTTAAATTTAAATAACCTACTTATCTAAAATGCCTTAAATAATTTAGATTCAAAGGTTTGATTTGCTGTGAACTCTAACGTAAAACTTTATTGCTTAATAAAGACATCAAACTCGCTCTTGGACTAAGATAACTTTCAACCATATATACAAATCACAGCAAAAGGGGAAAAATAAAAGGAAAGCAACTATTCTCATTTCAATAAAACAACAGACGACAGAAGCGAAAAATCTGAGGTTCCTGCAGGAGAGTCAATTATAGGATTTGATCTACAAAACGTACCTATCAGAACTAGCACATGTAACGGTTTGGAAACCCCTTAGCTCAACTCACTCTAATGCCACTGTTTCACACCCAACCCAACCCAACTCAAGTCCTAAGAATCTGGCAAAGAGGAAACTGCACGGCATGCTCATCATCTATCCCACGTTACAGATACGATAACTATGTGATTCATGTCACTTCTTGACCCCATTATATGTATCCCCAAAATCTCTAAATTAAACCTCAAAATTTACCCCCTCGTGATATGCACCTGCTTGTATAGTGAAATGGACGTATAGATAGAAATCCATCTTTCACTTGGCCCGCAAAAGAAAGCCCCGTAATTTACAAGAATTGGTCCCAATTATTTTCTTCGAACACATCATAGGCTTGCATGTGAAAGTGCACATAGTATCTGTCTATATCACTAAGAATGTTTGATGAAAATAATGGCCACTTCCCAATTGACCCATCAAAGCACATAATCAGCAAGCACAAATTTGGACCCAAATCACCATTTTTTTTAGCCAAGTAAGACTCACCAAATTGGTAGTAGACACTCCATTGTGAGAATATTCAACAAATCAATTTCCACAATCCGCAGTTTCGGCCAATGTTTACGTTTACCTGCTCTTATTGTTAGTCTCACTAGGTGATGTAATTCTTCTCATTTGTTAATTGATTTCTATAAACATTTCTTTCTCCCCTTTGGTTTGAACTATTAATCTCACGGTTCATATGATGCATATCACGTTGACATTTGACACACACAATATCTTCTTTCGATTTCTATTTCTATTTCTATTTCCTCCTATATTGCATACCAACCCACTTAACTGTCGCCACACGCATCCATTTGGTTCAAAGTGTATGTGTCATCTATGACATTGACCTTTTCATTGATTTCCTTCATACTCATATGTTATATAATACAATAAATGAATTTACACCTAAATAATTCGTTACATACTTTTAGATTTTAATACTCTTAATCATACAACACTAGACCCTAATTGTCAAAGTTGTATGGATGTTCGTACGAAAGTATAAAAGAAAAAACTTCAAATTAGACTACTTGTACTCAAATACAAAGTGGGTAAGAGAAATTAATTCATTTGCTGGTAAGATCACGGCCCCATATACCTGAAAATTTTATTTTCAATTTTGAAGTTTTTGTTTAATAAATCTCTTTCTTTGACCTCTTTTTAAAAGAAAGAGAACTTTAATCCTCGGTATCCAGAATAAAATTTCTGGTCCTACATATGTCGACAGTTACCTAACTCTAATTAGTCATGAATATACAAGTATTGGGCAATTTAAGTTAATATTACTATTTGAAGAAAATAATTTGCACCAAGCACAGTTTCGAATTTGTTGAAATCGTCTAGTTTTCCCAATGTATAAAAGAAAAACAAAAAAGAATTTGTTGAAATCCGGGTTGCTTGCCTATTAAGATTTAAGAACTATTGAATATTTTGGCCTTACCTACGTGCCTCTACAGGAAAATTAAGTACAAGAGTGTAAATTATCTTTTCTAGGAAAAGAGTTAGCTTGTGCATTGGAAATTTCTTTAAGTATATATTAACAGCTAGAGCATAGTTTAATTTAATTTTGAAAAGAAAAAAATATTTATCAAAAACTTGTTATAGTTTATGAAAAAACGCGAAAAGAGAATTGTATTTTTCAAAAGACTTTCTCATTTAAAATGTTTAAGAACATAACCTTATTTTAGTTTCTCCAAAATCATATATATGCAGTTAGATCCTGATACTGTTATCAAGTACCTATCCAAAATGTCAAATAGTGTCAATAAGACGATGTACAAAATAGTGGAGCCTGAAAGTTGCTTGTTTTCTTATTACAGCGTCTCACGCAAAAGATAACCACAAAAATAATTAGTTTTCTATTGAAATAACAATCCCAAGGCTTACTTAATGTGTTTCCTAAATAATTAAATGCCCCAATAATGATGCCACTATTGTTGTCACAAATTGGCAATTCATGTACAGCAATCCAGGGACTCAAGGATTGTACAGTAGCTTCTCACTTCTTGCTTTTGTTATGGCCCACAACCAAAATGCCAATAATTAATGCCATTCACTCGTGAAAATCCTTTTTTACCTTACCAAAAATGGAGGTTTCGGCAGCCATTGTGATTCAAATGTAGATAGGTTTCAACAGTTTTGGCTTTCTCCCCCAAATACACCCATTATGTTCAAGTTTTTTCACACTAGTGGGATCAAATTATAGAGCCTATATCATTGCATTCTTAAAACTTTGAGCATATCACACTTTTTAAAATGCTATGCATGTTCCGTACATGAATCCCAAATTTCCTTCATGAGTCCAAAAGAAAAAAAGACACAAAATAAGCTTGCCCTATTAGAATTGGCATAATATGCAAACACATGTCGGATAAGAACAAATTGAACAACTCATGTTATAGTTCTTGTTAATTTTAATGAATCCATTTAATTTGCATAAATTGAGATACACCTTCCACGTAAAGTGATAGTGACCATCCTCGTTGTATTCATGAGGATCTAACAAGTGCCAAGTTTTCAATTTTTCACAAAGACACGCTTTGGTGTGTTTCTTCCCGAAAATCATTTTCATGGACTAAAAAATAAGAAAATTGCATGTACCCAAGTAAGAAATTGGTATTCTAAGTCCAACATCAAGCGTAGCCGGCGCCAAATATACTTATATAACCCAATGTTTTTCTTCAACCGTTGACATTCAAAAATGCATTAGTCTCTACCTCTTTAGCGTGTACCTCACTTCTCTTGTTCAAATTTCCCACTCTTCACAATCCCAATTGCCTAACTTTTTCCTTGTTCCCCATGCAAACACACATATAAAACCTCTTCCTACTTGGTAAAAAAATTGCTCAAAAATCTCTACAAACCCACCATTCCTTAAAACCAAGCTTCTTCACAACCAAATTGTCAATTGATTGAACACTTGAATAGCCCTTCCTTCCATGGCAAATCGTCATTCTTCTAAATGCTTGCATCTTCCATGCAAAACATTATCTCTTGTTCTCCTTTTGATTTACTTGCTACTTGTTGGTTCTAGTGAAGCAATAAGAACGGGGCAAACTATGAGGCTGAATGAAAGACTCAAGGGAAAACACAACAAACAGAGTTTTCCATACCAAAGCATGGTTTTCAACTTCTTCCCCAAAGGGTCAGTGCCACCTTCAGGTCCCTCAAAGAGGCATAACGCGGTGGAGGATTCAACACCTCAAAATTAAGTAAATAGGATGTCCATTTTGTTTTATTTTTTCCAATTTTTTTTTTCTCTTCCTCTTCTTCTTGTATAATTTTTTGGTTTTTGTATTGATGGAAAGGATGTGAGGATTATAATTAGATTGAATATCAAGCCCCAAGAGATCAGATCCCTAAAGGGTCTGAAATTTTTTGGCTCTTATTCTAAATTATATTGTATAGAAAAAATTGTTGTCATATATAGGAATATGTATATTATTTTAGGTATGATGTGAGACTTTTCTTCTATGAAGAGTGATGATGATCCATCGAAATGGCTTGGACTTTAATCTCTTTTTCTCTAATTTCGTGAGTATTTGCAACGGCAACATCATTTGCAGCCGTAAGGTTTTTTCATTCAAATTGATGTTACCCTAATCTTCTCATATGTGACTTTTCTATGTGTAAGTACGTGTAAAATTGACATCGAGCGAAAATTAAGAATTCTTAATTTGGATTTTTCAATGTTGAAGCATAAAAGGCGAAAATGGAATCCTCAAAGTCTTCTAAATTACCCTTTTAGCTGGCTTAGACTCTGACGGGTGTGGCTTGGCCCACTCTATTGTGAAAATTACACTCACAAGACAAAAAAAAATTACTCTGTTTCCTTCGAAAATTCCCAGTACTTTCTTGTTGAAGATATTTAGTGCATGATTAATTTATATTATTTTAAAGACAAATTAATTTTTTAAAATTTAAACAATTTCGAACATGCACCCAAAAGAGATACCTATTGGTTCCATTTTGGTTAAAATCCAATATCTTCTTGGTTGTACCTTGCACGGCTTCAGCCATGCACTTAAAAAGATTGGGAAGTATGGTTGGAAATGTGTACAAATTTCAATGAATTGAAGGCAAAGGGAATTATTATAATAAGGTCAAAACACCAGCATGAAGCAAACAAGTTAATGCGTGCAATGGTTTCATCTTAAAACCTTTAAATTTCAAGTTTCTCTGCCAAGGGATATTTGTCCTCTTAACCATAAGTTATGTAAGAGTTTCACACTCGGACACTTGGAATACTGCATAACACTTTCAGTACTTTTAGATTCAATTTTATAATTTGTATGCTAAAACTGACTGAAAAATACCACAATGGATTTTAACACTTTTCATGTCTGCAATGTTCATATTCATTTTTAAAAGCATGAAGCTGATGGATGGATGAATGAATAAAATAAAAATATCATAAAGATTTAAGATCATCAATATGTTATAACTAAAGTATTTAAATTATAAGATTAACTAAATGTGGCGCTTAAATTACAACTCATACAATTCATAATTCAAGTTCTGCATGAAAACTGAATCAACCAAATCAAAATAAGGTTCGATTAAATCAAATCATACTGGGTATTCTCTTGCAAAACCGAATCAAACTGGTTTTTTAGGTTTGGTGAACTGGTTTTAGTTCATGAACAAGTTTTTGATTTTCCAAATTAACTGATTTTTTTTATCATTTGAACTGTTTTTGTGTTCTTATTTGCAATCAAACCACATGAACATGAAAGATAAATTCAAAATTCAAACTTGAACGCGATCTGATTGACGGAAGATCCATACAAAGAGTGTTTGAATACTTGGAAAATTTGGGACAGGGAAAGAAATATTCAAACAGTAGAAGTCATGAGTCGATGCAACAGTCGACAATTTGATTTTTCAATTGTTGTGAGTTCCACACACATTTAAATATTAGAGTTAAACAGGCAATTTCAACTCTCATATGTGACTAGTCGTGAATTTTGACATTGATCATTGTGCAATTGCTAGGAATCTTTGTAGAATAGTTTTAGGTTTAATTGTTGAAAGTAATATTCTTTTATTGAACAAGCTTTTTGTTAGAAATATAAAGTGTCCTATACAAAAAATTACTAAAACTTTCTAATTCTTGACTCGTAAATAATATCACAGGAAGTATAAACAATTTTTACCAGTGTAAACGAATGGTATCATTTAACTAATGGTGTAAATAATATCATTTTAAAGCATAAAAATTACTAAAATAGATATTACTTCTCTTAATAAAACATTTTCCATACACATAGTTAAGAGTCAAAATATAATTAAATATTTAGGTTTATTACTATCTGTCATAAATATCGAACTTTGTTGATTACACACATAAAAATATGTATATACAAGTGGGTTGGTCAATTGCCCTGCCTTAATTAAATATGTAAGTCATGCAGAAAATGGATGAAGAATAACTAGAAATGGCTTTAGAATATGAATTATATATAGTACATGAGATAAAGTATATCTCAACAGCACCTACTATATATATTCTAAACTCACCATTTATGAAACAAAATATGAATTATATTTTTAAATATAGACAAATAAAGGTCATTTGTATATTTTAAAATATGACCTTTACAACATATGCATTATTTACCATTTTAAATTTTAAAGAAATGGGGAAGACACACGGCACGTAACTTTCAAACATATCCCAAGTTGAACTGAGTTAGTATAATATATTGTTTTGACATGATCGAAGTTGAAATTAAACATTGCACAGGATTAGTTAAATACACGTTATCCCTTTATGATTATTTTAACAATTTTACTGAAAGATGTTGAGAGCAAAAAGGGATTCGTTAAAATTGACATAACAATCTAATTTGAGTTGGATGTGAAGATTGTGTCATCGTCACGCAATGTTATGAAAAAATGAGAGAAATTTGGGTTCTGTTGGGCTCAAGTTATTGACAAATTGAATATTTCTTTCACTCAAAATTAGCACTTTTACTAATAGAATTTAGAACCCAGTGAAAGAAGCACAGTATCTAAAATTGGTATCATTTATGGTGTGAATTGAGATGAATGTGTTTAAAGGGCTGCAATTTCCAGTTTCTACGGAATGCAAATCTCAAGAACTTTGATTTTGGTGACAGTGTGGAAAATATCCAAAATACACGGCATATACCACTAATGTTCATTGGGAGTTGATAATGGGATTCCTTCTCACATGGGGTATGTATGTCCAACAGTTTCATGTTTATTAATTGTAATTATAATAGATTATTTATAATTTGTTTATAGTAGCTTGCTTGGTATAATAATAATTTTAATGTTGGTCTAAAATAACATTATTATAATTATTTTTTACTTTATAGTCATCTCTCTCTTTATTATTTTACCTTTCTTTATTTCATTTTATATCATTTGTTTCAAGTTAATGATGTCATTTTTTTAGCACAACTAAATTTTAATTTTGCAGAATTTGAGATTAAAAAAAATGATATAAGGAAAAAAATTAACCAGCAAAAGAAACATATGCGGATCATTTTGCAGACTAGCTCATTTAATCATGAAAGCATGCTTAAAACTTATTTGAAGCTTAAATATGTTTGTCTCAATATTAAGGTGTAACTATATTTTAATCCTCAATTAAAAATGTTACAAAAATAAATAAAAAATATTGTTAAATAATCAAATTTAAACTCAAGTAAACAAAATAAAATTTATTTCATTGAAAACTTATGAAATGACAGAGACAAACAGAATAAAATTAATTATTACATTTGAACCAAACAAATCACACACAATCTAATATACGCAGTTGAAAGTGTATTTCAATTGGTGTCAAATTTATTTATTCGTAGTTACATTTTTTTATTAATTTTTAATTACTAACTAGAAGTGATTTTGTCATTTCTGTTTTCTTATTCATTCAATTTCTTAAAATTTAGTTTTTTTTTCTTACTTCCCTTACATTGAAAATGAAAAGAATGTCACAAATATAAAAATAAATAAATGTCCAACATTCATTATTTAAAGAACAATAAACCATTAAATCTTATTGTTTTTTATAATAAAATAATTCCAAATGAGTAAAATAAAAAAACTTACTATCCTAATTTAAAGATAATAAATAATTTAAAATATAAATATCATAATTTTAAATAAATTACTAAATTTGAAACTTTAGTTTACATTGATTATAATACCTTTATTTATAATTTTATTTTTATGAACTAGTTTTATTAAATATTTTTCATTCAATTAGCTATTTCTCAGTTTTAAATGAACATATTAACTCTCAGCTATTTTTAAAAAAAAAAAAAATTTAACTAGCTTATCCACTAGTTTTACTAACCACACCTTGAAGCAGGGGTTAATAAAAAAACTAAAACCCAAAAATCATTGGAAACTTCTGCCATGCCTCGTAAATCATGCAAACTGTAAGAATTTAATCCTCTACATTAAATAAAACACTAGTATAAATATTAAAATATGATTTTTTAATATAAAGATTAATTTAAAAATAAATATCAACTGAAAAAATTAAATGATAAATAAAAATTCTACAACTTCTAGATCTTCAAAATTCTCATATCTCCAACCCAATTTCAAATGGTGAATAAAAGCAGCAAACTAAGAAATAGTCCCAACCTTCTTTAAACCTCAAACAACAATATGAATCATTTTTAAAATTTTCAAAGAGTAAAAAAAAAAATGAAAACTAGAATCACAAGAAATCATATTTAAATATGATACTTAATACATATTTTATCTAAAAGATAAAATGAGGTGGGCACATGTACAATCAACACAGACTACACACAACCTGCATTTTCAACTAATCTTTAGCAAAACCCACCCACCATGATTTCCCAAAACAAAGACAGAGACAACAAAGTTTTAACAAACCCTATATTTTCAGTGTTGTTAACTAAAAAATATTTCAACAAAAACTTGCATTTATAATTGTGTTATGTAAAACTATAATTTTAATTAAAAAGATAACAAAAAAACATCTTGCAAAAATCATAAAGAACCACAGCTTTGTGTGCCAAGGAGAAATCACCTTACATCACCGGAAAAAAAAATAAATTCAAAACACCATTCAGAAATATATAAAATGGCACATTAAACTATCAGTTTCTGCATCCTCTTTTATCTTGTGCATTCCAAGATGAAAGAAATTATACAAATTCTAGATCAACACTGGAATATTCAATACTATGTCAAAATCCCATACCCTTCAACCCAATTTAAAGAAGTGAACAATAGAGGCATCGAACTGGGAAATCAAGCAGTCCCTCACCTTCTTTACACACAAATGCCAGACATATTTATCAAATCAAAAATCACATAGATAAAGAACTATATATAAAGTTGAGCACAAACACATACATTGGCAATCATGTAGTTAAACTCTAAGCAAGTAAATGCTGAGTTCAGGACCCCCACTAGCATCAGGGTTGATCATGTAGAAGGCTTGAGAATCTTTGGACCCCACAACCCTCTCATACTTGGCTCTCATGTACATGAGCTCACCTTCGGACCCAACTCCATTCCCACAACCTGGCATTGGCAACACACCAGCACCCATTGAAATGGGCTCAACAGCCTTCAAAATCTTCCACTCTTCAGGCCCACATTCACGCCTATTTGCATACCCACATTTTCTACCATTGCAATAAGTCCTCCAAAGTGGTTCATCCACCAACTTCACACCCTTGCTACTACCATTGCTATGCTCTTTCTTCTCACACTCCAATGCAATCCTCACCAACCCAGAAGCCATTTCCCTAACCAAAACACTCGTGGGTGTTGCTAACTCTATCAAGAATGCAGGGCCCAATTTTGGGTCCTCTTGGAATGAAAAATGCACGTGCCCACGACGGTGGCCAAAGAGGGTCCCCACCACACGTGTGCCAAGGCTTGGATTGTGTAGAAGTGAACCTCTTTTGGTCATGAACACTGTTAGTGCTGACTTCAACTTTGAATGCTGCTTGTTCTTATTCTTCTTATTCTTTTCCATTGGCACAATGGCACCATCAAGTTGTGGTGGCATTTGGATTGTAAAGTGGTTATGATCATGATCATGATCATGATCCTCTTCATCTTCAGGAAAATGTGAGGATGAAGTTATGTTGAGGATTTCTTCCTCGTCATCCTCATCCAAAGATGGCTTCTTTTTCCAATGGAAGTACCTCCTTGAGAAGGAGAAAGAAGAGTCATGCGGGGATTTGGCTGCCATTATGGTCTTCATTTTGGGTAGAAATAGAACATGGAAAAGATGGGATTTTGTTTCACATGAGCATTAACATGAACAAAGGAGAGTAACATATAGGTTGTGTTTTTTTTAATAGGATGATATGTGATCTTTATGCGCAGTGCATTGTGTGTTAAATGGGTGATTTATTAACCCTTTTGTCAGTGTTTGTGATACCTAAGTACAGGCAAGAGAATCTGACAAAAGGAAGGTAAGCAGCCCCCACCTACCTCTTTGGAACAAGGAATTGGAGCCAACAAATGTAATGTAACCAGAGTTGAAATTGACACCATTTTAAATTTGATTGATTCTCACAGAACTTATTCTCCTCTCATTTGAAAATTTCCTTATGTTAAAATTAATCATATTTTTGTGTTTTTAATATAATAAAAGAAATAAACTGTTAAATTTAAAAGGTTAACATTAATAAAATCGATAAAAATGGTATTGACTATTGTGATAATCATTTTTTAAAAAAAAATGGAGTACATTTATAGATTATAGTAGTTGGGTAAAACATAACATAAGAATATCATTAAAAATAATATTTTCTTAATTTTAGTGAAATCATATGATTAAAACAAACTAAGACTTCTAGAATGGCATAAATTTAAAATAGATGCAGTATGAAAATTAATTATATCCTTCTCTTTAGTATTAAGTTTTCAAACTTAAATAGTTTTAAACATATGCATTAATTCTTATAAATAGTACCTAAGTATTTTAAAACTATGCATCCGACCAAAGTTATTCAATATTAAGAAAACAATAAATATTATCATTTGATTTTAAACTAAATAATAAAGATGACATATTTTTATTCCATGCACTTCTAAGAAACATTAAATATATCTTTAAAATACCTAAAACTATTTGAAAAGAGTGAACATCAATTAAACTTTAGATTTTTAAACTAGAAAAGAGGATTTTGGTACGTGTAATGAAACCAAAAAGAGACAAGCTTTTTATTGTGATATCTTTATCAATGGTGGGGGGCACAGGCAGAAAAGAAGGGGCTTGACTGATTGCTCTGACTAGCATTGGAAAGAGTTAAGAGCAGGTGAAGGCACACCAACCATACCAACCATGGACCACCACCTTTCAGTCATTTCAACATTCATGCTCCCACCAAGCCACTCTGCACCAATGCCTTTAGCCACCATTGTGTTCTGTGTGTGTATCCTTTCACATACAAAACTCAGCTAAATTTTAGGATCAGCTTCATATGTCACAGCTTGCATTCACCAATTAACACTCACAAAAGCACCGCCTCTTGTAAACAATAATAGTACATTCTGGGTATGCACAATTTTTTATGTCCCCAAGTCTCAATTTCTAGAAAATCTCCCATTCACCATGCTCTCTTTTATTTACACATTATATCATTTGGGAATTTCAAACCATGGAAAGCCCATTAACAATTATCAATTTTATTATTGGAATCATTAAAAAATTAATATTCACATGTCATATTATTATTATATATCTTCAAAATATACTGTAAATATTTAAAACATCCCTTTAAAAATCTTCTCAGAATATTATACAAAACATTTTCTATTAACTAATGGGTTGTTATCGAAAGGCTTGTGAAAATATACTCAACAAAATATTTACCTACTAAAGTTTAGTTTAGTTTAGTTTAGTTTAGATGAATTTTTAACAAATATTTTTGAGAAATAAAAAAATAAAAAAAATCAATTTTACTTTTATAAATTAAGCCTATGTTTAAATATGCATTAAAATTTTAAGAATACGTGTACAATTATCAAAAGCTATAATGTATAACGTTAAGAGAAATGTATGCTGAATACATAAGACCCAAACAAATGTGCACTAAAGTTAACTTATGTCTTAATTTTTTTTTGGAAGTTTTTTAAATTATTTTTTTAAAATATAAGGTGCATGAGTTATTTTATTTTATTTTATAAATATTTATTTATAAACTTGTCCAAAATAGCCTCAATGGTTGTTTGCTTTGCTTAACAAATAATGTTTTTGGTTAATTGATAATTGTTCTGTGTGTTCAACACCAATTTTGTAATGAATGAATTAATTTTAAAATAAATATTTTTATTAAAAAAATAGGCGTTATAATTGTATCTTATTTATACTCTAAAAATAATTTTGCATTATAAGATATCATACCCATATGAAAATGAATTTTTAAATTTAATTATATCAAAATGGAAACGATATAAAAGACGAGTCTTGTTAGATATTTTTAATGAAAATGACTTTTGATTGTTTCAAGGGTCATGTTAATAGACATTCCTAAATGATTTCTATTATTAAACAAATCCTATGGAAATTTTATTAAATAAGATTTGTATAAATTTTACGGTTCAATCAAAAAATAGACTATTAGCACCTTTTTTAGGACAAAAAAAATATTGAATTCAAAAGACTTATATTTCTAGAAAAGAAACATTTTTATAATTTATTTAATAGCATTACGTTGTTACTTATTTCTGTTTTTGAATTTGAAGGTTATTACTAAGCACTATTTATGCAATAGTTATATTATTATTCTCTCTGTTTATTGAAAATATACTTTACTATACCAATTAATTTTGATGATATTATGATAATAATTTCAATATGTTTTTTATGAAAATATTATTATTAATTATTTAACAAGTAGACTTTCTTGGTGGACGGCTAACAGCCGAATCGAAAAGCAAGTAGCAACGACGTCAGAAAGGTTGTTATGTCCATAGATGCATCGAGCCAATAAACTACACCCTATCAGTTAGCAGAAGAACACTCTACATTGAATTAAAAATTAAGAATAAAATATTTTTACTAAAAAAATATCAAAATATATTATGAATTACATAAAAAAGCATTAACGATATTTTAAACAATTTTTAATCAATATTCCTATTTTATAAGAAAAAATAAATAAAAAAGGTGGGTTGCGTGATTATTTGCTTGTTAGTGTGGACCAATTGACTTTGTTCCAAAGAATCTATGAAATATTAAAAAAATGTGGAGTGGCACTTTCTTTGGTACCTTGAGATAATTTGAGTAGATTGCAATGGTAGCAGAGTGGGATGAAAGTAAAAACAGAGTGTTGAAGGACTCACCAATCTCACGGATCACCAAACCTTTGATCCACAAACCAACCCTACGACTATTCGATTATGTTTTCTGAGCTATTCTTGTTAAGTGCCCTTTTTCTACCCAAGAAGACTATGAATAGTGTTTAGTTTGTTACTTAGTTTACCTAGGATTACTTGTTTACGTATGCTATTTCAAATAATACATGCAAAAATATAATTCTTTTAAAAAATTATAGCTTGTTATTAGCAATTTTGACTATAAATAGTGTTTAATTTGTTATTTAGTTTACATATGATTGATTAGTTTGTTATATATGATATTTAAAAATAATATATATAAAAATTTGGTGTTTATGAAAAAACTACAAAAGTACAAAATTTAAAATCGTTATTGACGAATTTTTGTGTAGGTATAGAAATTCAAAGATTAAGAAGTTGTAAAGTATAAAAAATATTATTATTTTTATAAAAAACTCAACTTGAGAATAATAATTTTAAAATAATAATAAAATATTATAAAAGTACTCAAAGTTGTCATCAATAATTTTTGACTTTTTTTTTATATTCATGTAATTTTACCAAAAAAAAATCATATTTTTAAAATTTTAAAATGAAAAAACTATAAAAAAAGCCGTTTACCTATCTCCAATTGATTTTCAATTATTAAAAATTAGAAATTGAAATGAAATGGGAAGCTCAAATCGTCTGATTGGTAGAAGGAATTATTAAGCGGACGTTCAAAGGAATTTATAAAGAAAAATTATTTTAGGAGACATTTGGAAAAAATGATAGTTTTTAAATCTATTTTAATATTTTTATATATAATTTATCAAAATAAATTGTTTTTAATTGATTATATTAAAATTTATAGTTAAATTTTGTACAGTCTTTGTGTAGTTTATTGATTAAGTATTTTAATTAAGTTCTTTACTTAAATGTATTTTTAGTTTATTTTGATAAATTTTCTGGTAAAATAAATAATTTTCAATATAATTTATATAATTAAATTTATTTCATAAATTTACTTAAATGTTGGGGTTCATGGCATTTGAGTTGCTTAATATAGATGAGCATCGACTAGAGAATAAAAGACCCAGCATTTAAGAAAAGTAATAACATAATAATAGAAGGTCCCAAGTGAACCATCTCCAGCAACACCCCCATTCTGAACCTGAAGTAAGCATACACTTATTCTCTTTTATTATTACACTCATTTAAAAAGAAGGTGAAAAAATATATTGAAAACTCATTTATAATAATAATCATTAAGAATTTAATTTAACCAAACAAACTTTAATCCATTAAAAATATTACAACGCAAATTTTATTTTAAATTTGTTAATCCTTTAAAAAATTTGAATGGTATGATCATCCTTTATTTAGAAAATTAAAAGTCTTCATTAGTTTATTATTACATTGGTCTTTCTGTCTTTCCAACTTGCACACTTTCCAATTTTGTGGCACAAAATAATTTTATCGAAATTAATTCTATTTAGTTTTAATACGTTTCATTTGAATATGATAAAATTAATATTAAACTCTTAAATGTGATTACAACATGTATTTAAATCAATCTAAATTAAATATATATTGAAACATATACTTTTTTATTAAAAGATATAATTTTTAACAATAAAACAAAGATCCTACCAAGCACTTGTTAAAAAATTAACCATAATATTTATTGATTAATTTAAAAACTAAAAGCAAAGATTAACATTTGTTTAAAACAATGAGGAGCTTAATAATATATGTAATAGAATTGATTTGACAGCAACATGTGGAATTGAAGTAGAAAAGGCAGCATGGTGAACTAAATCTTTATAGATTACAAACATATAAAGAACAAAATACAAAATGAAAATCAGTGGGGAAATGGGTCAAAACCTGCTTTGACCATTTTGTGGAGAGGGTGAAACAAAGGGTGTGGCAAATGATCCCATTCATACCATTCCCAACCATCACACTTATGAGGTTCGAGATTCAGAGGCACTTGTTCTTCTCCATCCACACCCATCACTGCCCTCATGAAGATAGTCACATAGTGACACTTCCTTGGTTCATCCAACATCACGTTGTTCGTCACTGTCAACAACTCAGCATTCCCTATCACCAACCCACTTTCCTCTTTCACTTCTCTCGCCGCACATTCCTCAAAACTCTCCCCTGAAAACCCCAATTTAATCAAGTTCCTATCTTTTTAATGAAAAACATTTTGTGATAATAAAAGAGTGAGTGAGAGTGAGAGAGAGAGACCGAATTCGAGGTGGCCGCCGGGAAGGGCGAAGGTGGAGTTGCCGACGGCTGAGCGGCGGCGGCCGAGAAGGACCGATCTACCCTTCAAGAGGAAAACGGCCACCGCCACTTTCGGTACCGGCACCGGGGACTCTCCGATGTTCTCCATTTCTCGTGTTTGAAATTTGTGAAGTGATTGCTCAGGACTGGAGCTCTATATATTTGAACACGGAATTTCCACTGTGTTGATTTTGTCCAGTAATAACATGACACGTGCTGCTTTGGGTTTTCTGTCTGCGTTGGAAGAACTTAAGTGCGGTGCTGATGATATTTTTGGTTAATCAAGTTTTGTTTTAATATTTATTAATAAACAACATTAAATATAAATATTTTATTAAAATAAATTTATTCTATCGTGGTCGTCTGATAGTTTGAACTATGTTCTGCTCTTTCTCTATTATCCCCATTCTCTTTTACCATCATCACTTCTTGTTCTCAATTAATATAATTTTTTATATATATATTATCGAATAAAACTTTAATTTTAATTAAAAATAACACAAACACAGTATCAATAATTCTGCACTGAAGTTTAGTCTAATTATAAATAAGGATATGAATATAAAAATTACTTTGTATGATTTTTATTTTTTCAATAAAAAATGAACGCATGGTTGAAAAATTGCATTTATTTACTTATTATTTTTACTAAGACATCATTTTTATTTGGAGAACAAGGAAAGAAACACAAAGATAAAGGTGGTTTGGATCCACAGAGACATACTTAATCCAGCAAGGCATTGTGATCACATGTTGTTATATTACAATGGATCATAATAACATCTATTTTATCACATTCCTCTCCTTTTTTTATGTTCTTTTCTCTCTAACCATTTACAGTCATTAATAAAATGTGAAATTATTATTATCCATAGAGTAGAGTGGTTATATTTTTATATGCAATTTTCTTATATTTGATTTTTATTTTTCTATCACATCATTAATATATATATATATATATCACATTTTTTAACATTAACAAAATTATCTGTCAGTATGATAGAGGACATGAAATTATCATTCAATTTTCATTAAATAGTGTATACTAATAAAATCAAGCTTACCAAATACTAATTAGTTGACAGATGATAACAAATGATGATGATTAACCTACGCAGAAGTCATGCAAGAATGAAAATTTTAAAGTCCATGATCTGAGGTACCCGAAAACATTGGAGAAAACATGAGTTGAAAGAGGAAAATGAAATGGGAATGACCAAGTAAAACGCTCTTGCAATTGGTGAAATGAGTGACAGTCACAGAATTTCCCAACGGTTCCTTCCTTCCCGCTTGTTAGTTATTCGTTGCCACCTTATTATATGCTCTCATTCTCTCTCTCATTTACTGCTCTCATTCTCTCTCTCTCTCTCTCTTGCTATCCTCATTCTCTCGCTCTCTCTAGCAATGACGGACACCACTGACGATATTGCTGAGGAAATCTCCTTCCAAGGCTTTGATGATGACTGTAGATTGCTTGGGAATCTTCTCAATGACGTGTTGCAAAGAGAGGCTGGCACCACCTTCGTTGACAAACTCGAAAAAATTCGAGTCCTATCACAGGTTTTTTACCTTTTTTTTTTTTTTTTTTTGTTTCTCTTGTTTCTACAATATTCAATGGTTTTAACGTTAATTTTGGATTGTTTCAATAATGTTTTTTTTTTTTTTTTTTTGGGGGGGGGGTGGTTCTTGTCGTTGAGGTTTCATCAGATCACTGTTAGTTTTATGAGGACACTCAACTCTGTGATTTTAACGTTGAATTTGTGTTTTATTAGTGATGGGGTTTGTCTTTTTAGTAAATTTCCTTTGACGTTGTGATTTCATAACTTTTTGTTTTCTGGGGACCCTGTTTGGTTGCTCAGGAAATGGCACAAGGTTGAAACAGGACATGCATAATGCATTTAGTGTTTCATGATGCATGCATGTAATGGGGATTCCTGTGATTAATATTTGGGGTTCCTCAAGTTATGAATGAATGTAATCTTCAATATTGTTTGTTGAGTGGGAAAACTTAATTGCTTTGTGTCATTTATGTCACATTTGGTAACCAAGTTGCAGAGCTAGCCTTTGAAAATTCCTTAACATTTTGTTGTTTATTTTTCTTTCAGAGTGGTTGTAATATGAGACAAGCTGGGATGGAGGACATGGCAGCGATAATAGAGAAGCAACTGGCTTCAGACTTATCCAAGATGACACTTGAAGAAGCTCTGAATCTTGCTCGTGCCTTCAGCCATTATCTTACTTTGATGGGTATAGCTGAAACCCACCATAGGTATTCTTTCGGGTCTCCAACTATTTTACTATTTTTATTCTATTAGTTGATGTTCTGATGAAAGGTTGATTCATGCGTGTATCGATATGCATACAATACACTTGCATCCGTATCTCACGCCTATCTGCCACTATTTAATTATTAGTGATAATTTTTATATTTTATAGAATTTATTAGAATATTTAGTTATTTTTAGGGATTTTTGTAAAATTGTTATTTTAGTTAGATTGGATCTAAGTTATTGTATAATATTCAACATGCATGCATAAATATATGTATATTTGAGTTAATATATATTGTTGTATCTGTATCCTATTTTAAAAAATTTTCGTATTTGCATATCATATAGTACCCAATTCGTGTATTCGTACCGATGCAACATATGATGATTAGTATGTATGTCTCTTTGATTTTATGAAAATTTGCAATGAAGGCTACTTAGTCTAGTAACAACTTTGAGGGTAGGATAGGATAGTGTTTCTCACAATTTATGTTTGTGCAGGGTTCGTAAAGGAGGAAACATGGCTCATTTTGCAAAGTCTTGTGATGACATCTTTAACCAGCTAGTGCATGGTGGAGTTTCCCCAGATGAGCTTTACAACACAGTTTGCAAGCAGGTCTATTTTGTTCTTTACTTCTTGCCAATCTGCATAGTCTGAAAAGTGTAGATGAAATAAGTAAGATTACCTATCATTGTCATTGAACCATTTTTGGATTCTGAAATCTTGTGGAATGGACTCAACAAACTGAGATTAAAACTAACAATTGTTTACTTTCTTGACATATTCTTTTCTTATTAATATCTTACTGATTTTAGTAGAAACCTGGTTCTCATTTCTACTATTATTCAAAATTCAATTTTACTTTTGTTGCTACAGGAGGTCGAAATTGTTCTTACAGCTCATCCCACGCAAATCAATCGCCGTACCCTGCAATACAAACACATCAAAATTGCTGTGAGTTTTTCTGTTCTTAAATATACAAGCTTGTTTGACCTTAATAAAACTGTAGGTTTGAGCTTTGAAAATCAAATATCATGCAAGTGTTTTATCACTAACTACTTTTTTCCCTTCATAAAGCATCTTTTGGAGTATAATGATCGACCAGATCTGGGTCCTGAAGACCGAGAAATGGTGATTGAAGATCTGGTACCATTCTTGAACTTTTCTCCACTCTACTTAACTGTCATAGTGTTTGTACCCCAAAAGTACAAATCCATTGTGTTTTAGGGTGGGATATTATATCTTTAACTGTGAAATGAGTAGTGCCATTTCTTTTTCTAGCACACTTTCTTCTATTCTCATAAATCATAATGTGTTTGGTAGGTGAGAGAGATAACTTCAATATGGCAGACTGATGAGCTTAGGCGTGAGAAACCCACACCAGTTGATGAAGCGAGGGCTGGTAAGTTGCTCGAGTATTATGTGTTAAATATTAAACCTTCCATATCCCTTCACCTAATAGATTAAGTTTTTGAGTTGTTTCTTAACAATGCTTCATGGCCTTTTTGTTCAAATGTTCAAGAGTTTGTTCCTTGCTGTTCCAAAAGGCCCTTACATGAACACCTAATAGCTTAATGTTTTAGGAGAGGTAGCCCTTGAAATTTATGTGTTAGCTAGCATGATTTGATTCACTGTCCAAAAATAAAAAAAGAAAGAAAAAGTGGAAGAACCCCTTGCTTTATTTTTCAATTTTCCAGGATTGAATATTGTGGAGCAGTCACTCTGGAAAGCTGTTCCTCATTATTTACGTCGGGTTAGCAGTGCCTTAAAAAAGGTATATCATCTTTAATCCATGTCAATTAACATGTACATTCTTTCCATTTAATTTTTTCAATGCAATTTGTCTTTCCTTGCAGCACACGGGAAAATCACTTCCATTGACTTGCACTCCCATAAAGTTTGGATCTTGGATGGGAGGTGACAGAGATGGAAACCCAAATGTGACAGCAAAGGTAGCATTTTTAAATATCCATTTATGCATGACTATCTAGTGTGATACCATTCATGCATGGCAGAGAAGTTTTCAATTGGTGGGAGCTAAGTTGAATTTGTAATACCATTATATTTTTGACAACCTAAACATGTGTAGTGTGCATGACATTTTGGAAAATGAAAACTTATTGATGATTGAGCAGGGATAACTATAGCAAAAATAAATGAGCTTCTAACATGTTAAATATTTCCTTGAATAGTTTTCTTGAAATTTTGTGGTGGTTGAACATTTTAGTCAATTTTTAGTCTCAAAGTAGGATATAAGAGCAGGCTCTTATTTTGGCAATTGACGGCAAATGTAAAATTATTTTGAATTTATTTTATTTTATTTTTATATTGAGCAACAAAGTGGCTTTGTCAAAAAATTGGTTTTTGATAGGGGTCAGTGACATTAATTGCTCCATGTTTTCACTCCCTCAAGTGCTGGATAAAACTTGGTTGTTGTTGTTATAGTTTTCTTCAGATGGTGGCAGGATGAGCTTTACTGTTTCAATTATGAAGTCTGTTTCTTATAATTCAAACATTATAAATTACCAGAATTTGTCTAATCTAGGAGTGGGATTTTCTTGTTGTAGGTGACTTTTGTGATTTTGATTTAATCCTGTAAACATTGACATACATAAAATTCTGCAATTGGTTTTCCTTTTGTTTTTCAGGTTACAAAAGATGTTTCACTTCTGTCAAGATGGATGGCAATTGACCTCTACGTTCGGGAAGTTGATAGCCTGAGATTTGAGCTATCAATGAAACGGTGCAGCGATAAGTTGTTGAAATTGGCACATACAATTTTAGAAGGTTTGTTACTTCAGTTTTGTTTATGGTGATATCTTCCAAATGCATGGACAT